ACACCCTATGTTAACTCCTCCCACACTGTACCAGGGTTGGTCTGTGTAGCTAACAGAACCTGGCAGAAGTGATGGAGGTCACTCCTGACTTTAGTTTATAAAACACTGATGCTTCCATCTTGTATGTCCTTTTTCTTGTATCATTAAGTCTGGGGAAGCCGAATGCCACATTGTAGGGACATTCTGCCTATGGAGAGTCCCAATGTGGTTGAGTAATTGAGGTCTGATAACCATGGAAATAACTGTGGTGTCATGAGAAAATCTGAGCTCAAACAACTCAGTTGTTTCTGGATTCCCGACCTATAGAAACTGTGAGATGATAAATGTGTGTTGTTTAAAACTACTAAGTTTTGGAGTGATTTTTTACATAGAAATAGCATATTTTTTCAAATGACTTATTATTTTCAATAACTGTTCTACAGTATACCCTTTCTGTAGACAGGCATTTGGGTTTTAGCAAATGATGTAATGAATACCCTTGGACATAGCCATACTTCTACAGGTATTTTGGGAAAGGGGGAGAGAGGGAATCCTAGAGGTGAAATTGCTGGGTCAAAGGGTAATTTAAAATTTTGGCCGGGTATGGTGGCTCACACCTGTAATCCCAGCACTTTAGGAGGCTGAGGCAGGTGGATCACTTGAGGTCAGGAGTTCAAGACCAGCCTGGTCAACATGGTGAAACGCTGTCTCTACTAAAAATACAAAAATTAGCCAGGTATGGTGGCGCATGCCTGTAATCTCAACTGCTCTGGAGGCTGAGGCAGCAGAATCACTGAAACTGGGAGGTGGAGGTTGCATCTGTGAACTATTTATTGATATCCTTGTCCAACTTTTGTTTGGTATCTTCTTAGTGACTTTATTTATTTATTTTTGAGACGGAGTTTCACTCTTGTTGCCCAGGCTGGAGTGCAATGTTTTGATGTCGGCTCACTGCAACCTCCGCCTCTAGGGTTCAAGTGATTCTCCTGTCTAGGCCTCCTGAGTAGCTGGGACTACAGGCATGCGCCACCACACTCAGCTAATTTTTTATATTTTTAATAGAGATGGCGTTTCACCATGTTGGCCAGGCTGGTCTTGGACTCCTAATTTCAGGTGATCCACCTGCCTCAGCCTCCCAAAGTGCTGGGATCACAGGTGTGAGCCACCATGCCCAGACTTCTTAGTGATTTTTAAGAGCTCTTTGTGAAGTTTGGCTATTAACCATCCATTCTGTGTATGTTGCCAGTATATCCTTTCATTAGGTCCTCTTTTAGCTTTGCTAGTGATGTGTTTTGCAATTTGAATTTTTGTATGTTGTCAATCTTACTCTTTATTTAATGCGACTTTTATTTATTTTTAATTATTATTATTTTTTTAGATGGAGTTTCGCTCTTGTTACCCAGGTTGGAATGCAATGGTGCAATCTTGGCTCACTGCAGCCTCCGCCACCTGGGTTAAAGAAATTCTCCTGCCTCAGCCTCCCAAGTAGCTGAGATTACAGGCACTCACTACCATGCCTGGCTAATATTTTGTAGTTTTAGTAGAGACGGGGTTTCGCCATGTTGGCCAGGCTGGTCTCAAACTCCTGGCCTCAGGTGATCCGCCTACCTTGGCCTCCCAAACTGCTAGGATTACAGGCATGAGCCACCGTGCCCAGCCTAATGTGACTTTTACATGATGGGTAAGAATTTACCGAGCCAAGAGCAGGGTAGTCCAGGCACATAGACCAGCCGAAAACCTGTATCACTTACATGAGGAATTTGTGAGCACACTGGTTGAGTGTGAAGAGAAGCAGTGCTGTAGACAGAGGCAAGGGCTATCCCTGGAGGACCCTGGCTGCTTGGTTAGTAAGCTTGAATTTTTTCCTATAGGTAATCCTATAAGCAGAGAAAGGTTTTATACTGAAATTGATGTAATCAGATTGCATTTGAGATCCATCTCCGGCAGCTGTGTTGAGGAGGAGGGCTCTGAGGACACAGAACTGGAAACAGACACACCATTTAGGGAGCTGCTGCAATTGTCCAGAGAAAAGCTAATGATGGCTTGAACTGGAGCAATGGTGGTTGGATTGAGGGGAAGAGATAGAAGGGAGCAGTGTTTAGGGGGTAAAAAGGATCTCATTCGATATATATGGAGAAGTGGGAATAAGGGAAGGACCAAGGATGGTGTTTAGGTCTTTAGCTTGACCCAAATGGATCTTTTATAACAGCTTGACTTTTGTCAACAAATGAAAAAGCATGTGCAGGAGGAAAAGCTGGGTTAGCAGGCAAGTGAGTTTGGTTGGAACAAAATGAGTGCAAAGGCTTGTGGGAAACCCAGGTGGGGAAGGTAGGTGTACAGATTTGGGAGTATTCAGTATTAACATGAAACTAAAAAGCATTTAAGTGGATCAGCAAATACAAGGAGAAGCCTTTTAAGTAAGAAATTCGAGTTCATTTTTGGAAGAGCCACATTATTGCTAAGATACACAGTTAAGAAGTGCCAAAGGCAGAAAGGATAGCTGACTCAGCCTGGATCTCCCTGGGCGTGATGGACCTTGGTAGGGTCACTCCAGACTAAGGCTCAGCTTAGCTCTTGAGACTTGGAAACTCAATTCTGTCAATTCCTTCAGGAATAATCAGGATCTACTCACCAGAGAGTTCTACATCTTACAACTATTTCTCAGTGTGCCAATTTCTGTTATTCTTAAGAAAAGGAGGCTATGTGGCAGGACCATGGGTTTAGATTCAATCATTCCAGATTTCAAATTCATTTCATTATTTTTTGGCTATTATGACTCCTGAGAACACTGGCTTCCTTGTCCTGAAAACAAGGAGGGCTACCTTGCAGGGATGTTATAGAGATTAAAAGTGATAACATATATAAAGCATCTCACATGGTGCCCTGACCACAAATCAGTAACTGAGTTCCCTTTTCCTTTATCCACTCTTTAGTGCTGTTCTGTCACTACAGGTACAGGAGGAGCTTGTGGGGAGGCCCACAAGATGAAAGCTAAAAGCTCAGCAGCCAGGAGACAAATGCTGATTTCCCAACCCAGAAAGAATGACCGGTCATCCTCTAAAGTCCAAAAGCTGCTTAACTTGTGATCTACCAAGGATTCAAAAATCTTGCATATTGTCTTTCAGGAGAGAATCCTTAGAGTTTTCCAATTCTAGTTCCAGGCAACCAACTGGATAAGCATTCACCCACTCTCACAATGATACCTGAGTTATATATTATGAAGCTAGTGTTCTAAACTTCTCTAACATTCCTGGAGTAGAGGGAAAAAATAAATCAAGGGAGAGGTTAGTTTTTAAATTATAAGTTTTTGTTTCAAAAGATACATGATAGAACATTTTATTAATAAAACCTCTTGCATTCTAGAAGGAAAGGAAATAATTTCATTGTAAATATTATCTGGGTTAGATATTTTTGAGACAAGGTCTTGCTCTGTCACCTAGGCCAGAATGCCTTAGCCTGGGTCACTGCAGCCTCAACTTCCCAGGATCAAGTGATCCTCCTGCCTTAGCCTCCCGAGTATCTGGGACTACAGTAGGCGCATGCCACCATGTCTGACTACTTTGGGTGGGATACTTTTAAGGGTCTATCTCAAATTCTGCTGATACAGAGAACACCCATTGTAAACCCACTTTTACTGACCACACCTTAGTATAATGCCGTTAGTTCATATAGAGGCAAGCAGCAAAAAAAAAAACCGCTGTCAAACTCATCAATGTGACAACTCTAAGGATGTGGCTAAGCACCATGTTCACTGCAGTATACTTAGGTGGTTAAGCGGTGTCCTCTTTATCGAACCTCTCAAAAGCAATCTGTATTGCTGATCTAAGAACCAAAAAAAGCTGAGCACCGTGCCACGTGCCTGTAGTCCCAGGTACTTGGGAGTCTGAAGTGGAAGGATGGCTTGAGCCTAGGAGTTCAAGACCAATTTTGGGCAACATAGTGAGGCTCCATTCTCAAAGAACAGAAAAAAAAAAAAGAAAAAAAGAACCAAAAAGAGCTGTATTTTCCCTGAGACCATTCATTCATTTAACTAACAGTTGCTGAGCCCCTTCTGTTGCCTGAGCCAGGCAGGGTGCTAGGGCCAAGCCTGGCACAAGGACAGAGTCTGCCCTCTAGGCTATAGGCACTGAACTGTGTAGCTGATCAGATTTCCCATTTATGAGGCTAGAAACCTTAGCGGTAAATCTTTGGCCCAGTCAGTAGTAACTTTCCAGGACTTTGAGGTATGTATACTGAAGCCCCACTCCTGGCTCCACTTTCTCTCTCTGGTTCCACTTCTTAATTTATGCTGTTTTGCTTTTATATCTTAAGCTGTCTTAAATTTTTTCTGCAAGAAGTAAACAAGCAAATTTATAAAGGCAATATATATATATTTTAGTTTATTTTTGCTCTGGTTATTATGAGCACATTTTGTTCTTTAAAAAGAACTTAAGAATTATAATCTTTACCACTTATAGTATATCTTAATATTATATAGGAAATATAAGTGTTATGCAAAGTAGTTTGATTTTTCCCCTTTAACGTACTTTTTTTTTTTTTTTTCCAGTTCATCTGCACCTAGAGCTTTTCAAGAAACCTTAGGGAGGTGGCAAGGAGCATAATAGCGGTACTTAGGCCTGGTTTCAAGGGCAATAGCTAGAAGCCTTAGTAGGACCTAAAACTGTGTTCAATTGACAGTTTAAAAAATTTTGGATATTAGAGAAGTAGGAAGACAAAATTATAGAGTCATAAGTATAATATCTAAAAATATGTGAATAAATGCTAAAAAAAAAAAAAAAAAAAAAAAGTAAGCTCTTAGCTCATAGCATTCCATGTTCTTAAAAACATGGCACCAGTCCCTGAGAGAATCTCACTCAGTCTATGTGTCAAGCACTGAGTAGATGCTCAATAAACAGCTACTAAATAAAAGAATAAATATATTCTAGTGTCCTGTTACTGAACCACAGATATATCTATATTACATATAATACTGTATTCACATATACAATGTATTAGAAAGAGCAGTCTTTTTGGGGAAGTCATAAAATGATAAATGATCAACAGATATAGTTTATTTATCACAACAGTGATTGTATTTTACATCAAAAATGACAAATTAAAAATGAAATATATCACTATCTATACAAGTATAACCTACTGAGATCCCATATTTTAATCCATTTTATGACCCAGAGACTACATTTTAATAGATATTATAAGATACACCATAATATTAATTATTTCTTAGAATTTTAAGAAATATGGCTTATGTATCAGGCTTAATGAGTGAGCCAAAGCCTTTATCAGCTCCCTCAAAACTGATAAACTGGAAAGATTTGAAATCTGAATAGCATATAAAAGCATAATGTCTATGTTTTCCATAGTTAATTTATTTGCTGTTAGGCAGTTCTTCAGCCAACATCCTCTGTTTCTGACCAGAGTAGTGTATCTCAAGCAGGAATAGTAAGACAAGCAGGGTCATAGATCTTTATTGTTTCATCCCAAGAACAGTCAGCCACCTAGAAAACAAAAATGAAGTAAGAAGAAATGTATTTAGATGTACAAAAATTCAAAATTGGCAGCAAAAACCCAAGTCATTTAGAGTGTCGTAAATCATCCACTAGTAAACATATTTTTGAACAGGAAAAACATAGGGCTAAGTTTTTGATAAAAAGTCTATATTCCCTTTTTAGGATATACCTCAGGGTATTCCAAATGATTCCAATTGATTGAGTATATTCCAATTGGTATATTCCATTTGATTGAGGTTTCCTATAAGCATGTCCCCCACCTTCACTCCACCCAACAACTACATAATTCCCTACCATCTGAGAGAAATGTTGAAAAGATACGTTCCAGACTGTGAACAAGATGCTGTGCTCAATATTGTGGGGATGGAGAGGAAGATAAAGTAAAGCTCTTGCCTTCAAAAAATGGCTCATTCGAGACTGACTGTGGAAGGTGCACTAACAGAGACTCTTAGGGGGACTATATGACTCTAGCTGGGACAGTGTAAGACAACTTCACAATGCCATGGCATTCCCACCGGACCTCTGTAGGAGGCAGACACAAAAGACAAGGACATTCACATCTACAAAGCCACAGGAAAACATGAAGGGAAGAAAGTCCAGGGTGTTCAGGAACTATGCATTAAAAACTTAGTGTAGCAATGTCTCCAGGTATAAAATTAATACATGAAAATGAATTGTATTTCTATATACTCATTTTTTAATAGAAATGGATGAGGCAATTTTTAAAATTTATGTGGAAATGCCAGGACTTAGCCGAAAGAATCTTGAAACGAAACAACAAAGCTGCACTACTTACTCTAGCTGACTTACAGACTCAGCATGAAACTACTGTAATCAAGACTGTGCAGGATTAGGATAAAGACAAGTAGACCAAAGGAAGAGAACAGGGTTCAGGAATAGGCCCCACACTAGGACAAATGGCTTTCAACAAAGGTACCAAAACAATTAAAGACAAAAGGAAAAGTCTTTTCAATAAATGGTGGTAGAACAACTGAATATCCATAGGGAAAAAAGTGAATCCTGACCCCAACTTTGCACATAAAAATGAATTTGAGATGGACCACAGACCTAAATATAAAAGCAAACAGTATAACACTTTTAGGAAAAAAAATAGGAAAATATATTCTCAATACAGAGGTAAGTAAAGATTTCTTAGGGATACAAAAAGTAATAATCACAAAAATTTGGTAAGTTACTCTCAATCAAAAATAAAACTTTTGCTCATCAAAAGACACTGTTAAGAAAATGAACAGGCAAGACACAGTTAAATAAAAGATTAATAAAATATACACCTGACAAATAACTTGTATCCAGAATATATAAAGAACAAATACAACTCAATAATAAAAGACAATCTAATTAAAAATGATGGGCAAAAGTACGCACATAAAAAAGTGCTCAACATCATTAGGGATTAGGGAAATGCAAATAAAAGTAACAATGAGATACCACCATATACTCACATTATGGCTAAAATTAAAGATTGACAACACCAAATGTCAGCAGGGATATGGAACAGCTATGATCGCATAGATTGCTGGTAGGGATGTACATGGTACCACCATTTCGGAAAACAATTTGGCCATTTCTTACCAAGTTAAACACATACCTATCTTTTGACCCAGTAATTCCACTCCCAGATATTTGTCCAAGAAAAATGAAAACATATATTTGCAAAACAATGTATACAGGAATGTTCACAGCAACTTCATTCACAATAGCAAAAAATCGAAAACAAGGCTGGGCGCAGTGGTTAATACCTGTAATCCCAGCATTTTGGGAGGCTGAGGCAGGTGGATCACCTGAGGTCAGGAGTTCGAGACCAGCCTGGGCAGCATGGTGAAACCCCGCCTCTACTAAAAATACATAAAATGAGCTGGGTATGGTGGTGCATGCCTGTAATCCCAGCTACTAGGGATGCTAAGATGGGAGAATTGCTTGAAACTGGCAGAGGCTGCAGTGAGCTGAGATTGTGCCACTACACTCCAGCCTGGGTGACAGAGTGAGACTCTGTCTTAGAGGAAAAAAAAAAAAAAAAAGGGAAAACAACCAAAATACTCACTAACAAAAGAATCGATAACAAATTGTAGTAAATTCATACAACAGAATGTGCTCAGCAAAACAAAGGGAAGAACTGCTAACAGGCTCAGTACCATGGATGAAGCTCACAGGTAAGAGGCCAGAAACAAGTGAGGACATACAGAAGAGTTCCTTGTAGAATTTTAAGACAGGCAAAACTCATCTAAGGTAAATAAACAAACAAACAAAAAATCAGAACAATGTTACTCTTCTCACCTGGAGGGAAGGGTGGGGATAGGGGAGATTGGAAAGGGGTAAAAAGGAAACTGGGGGAAAGATCAAATAACTGGGATGATGTGAATTTCATAGGCACATCTATTTGTCAAAAATGTATATCTAAGACTTGTAAATTTCAATATATGTTAATTATACCTAAAAATAGTAAAAATAATGTTAGCGATAATAACTAAACGATGGGTGAGAGTACAGGAATAAATAAGAATGTTGATAGTTGCTCAAGCTAAGTAATGAAGTTCATTATCCGATTCTGTTACTTTGTATGTTTTCAAAAATTTCCACAATAAAAAAAAAGAAGAAAAGAAACAAGGTAGGCAGTAAAATGAAAGATGAAGTAGGAAGAGAGTACTTTTGACCAAAAGTATTTGCACTCCATTTCCCAGCCTTTCGTGGTTATTACAAAGGTTGAAAATTACACAAGAGAACCCTCGTTTTGACTAATATAATTTCTTGGCTATCACTAACTTTGAATACAAGAACCATTCAAACTAATCAGAGTAATATTAGCTCCTTATCATTCACTAGCAATATTCTGAGATCACAATCCAAGTTACAGAGAGCGTTATAGACTTTTCAGTCAAATGTTTACATTTTAAAACCACACTCTTCAAAATCTGGTTGTTCTCACTTCATTTCTCATTGCACCAGGATCACACCTCAAATCCAAGCATGCTGCTTCTGCCTCTTGATGCTCTTGTTCCTTTACTGATCCCTTCCCTTTAATAACTCCTCTTCTCCCTCCCTTTCTGTCTGCTCCTCTGTCCCCTTTGCCTTGCTCTGCCAGAGATGTCTCTTCTTTAAAAAAATCAGTTTAGGCATCACCTCTATGAGGTGTACTCATAATACTTCATCGTACCCATAATACTTGATTGTACTTATTTTACTGACCGAAGACAAAGAGTTGTCTTCAGCTCTTTCAGGGCATGGACCATGTCTTCTTAGAACATAACTCAATGAATATTAGCTCAACAAATTAATCTTACCGATTAAAATTTCAGAGATTAACTCTGTCCTCGTGTTCACACTAGAGTAGCAGAGCTACAACCAGAACCTAAACTTGTTGAATGTATCCACTAAAAACAGTGCCTCGTAGAAAAGGCACACTGAAAACCATTATTCGCCTAATAATGTTTTATACCAGTTTTATACCAGTTTTCAGTTTTTATACCAGAGGACACAAAGATCATTATGTTAAATTAACCGTCTCATCTATGCTTATTTTTTTTCACGTGCTGGGCCTTTCCACAAGTTAAACATCCACTGCTGGAGAGAAAAGAATCAGATAAATAAGACTTAGGTTTCTGGTGCAAGGTATCTATAAATTATGTTTCTGAAACCTTATTCAGCACTCTTCAATCCAGCTTCTTATTTACTCAGGACTTATAATAACTACCAAATATTAAGGCCACTGATTCAGCAAATGTTCATAAATCTATACTTAATTGGATTAAGATAGATGTAAAACTGCAATGATACAGAATTAGGAATAGATTAATTCAAATTGATGAAAATAGTATTTCTCTATTTGTTAATTAAACCCTATCTGGTTCTACAAATTTAAGCAAACTAACAATAAAGAAAATAATAATAAGGTAAGAAAAAAGCACTTTACTAACAAACAAAGAGGCTCCAGATTCTCCAAGGTTGCCATGTAGGAACTTCCTGGTAAGAAAAAACTGCTGTGCCATGTGGTCCCCAGGGGACCTCTTATTAATCATCACCACCACTGCAATGGCTTCTGGTAGCACTACTTGCCCTCTAATTCTAGAACTGAAAGTAAACACAGGGTTCTTTCTTAATGCCCCATGGTACCTATCTGTGGTCAGCCTAAGAGACATTTTAAAAAGACTGTACTAAAAATAAGGGCTAACAAAAAGACACATATTAAAAAAAGACTTTGCTAAAAAAAAAAAAAAAAAAGTGTTAACAAACAGAAAAAACAAGTAAAGAAAATGGCATGAAAAGAAATAATCTGCTTTATAGGATGAGATACACTCATTCTTTAGCTTGTCAAACAGAGAGGCATCTTTCCTGGCTCCCGACCTGCTTCCTTATAACAAAAGCTTCCCCTTCCATCCCCAGAAATGCATGCCTGGCCATGAAGACTCCTTCAAAGCCAGACTCAGGACACAGAATGAGAAAGATGATGATAGGAATCTCCTTTTCTACTTACCCAAGATTATCTTTCTCAGTTTCAGTCCCATATATGAGAACCCCACTTATTTGCCCATTATCTTGCTATGAGAAAAACTGTGAATGATTGAAATCAGAAAAAAAGATGACTAAGTATCCTTTCAGTGGGAGGCTGGCATTGTCTTAGGGACCATATGGGTTACCTGTTTCTCCAGAGCTCTGTGCGTTTCACTTTCTGACTAGATTACTTTAGAACTCTGTAAATTATAGAAAACAGATAGCAATGCAAACGATTCCCATTCATAAAAGTTGCAAGGGAATCCAGTCCTGTAGAGATGCAACTGATGCCCCCGCTTACCCCCTGCAAGAGATGACTCCAAACCTTAAGTCTTATTGCCCTGTGGATACTGTCCAGTTCTGCACCTATTAGTAAATTCATTTCAGCACTCAATGATTCCTTTAAGTTAGCTGTCAAATCTTACATGAGTTACATAAATGAGTTAAATAAAATCTTTGACACATGTTCATACTATGAGAGT